GCGACGTGTTCATTCACATGACTGGAGAGGAGGTGATAAAAAGTTTGCGACGTGAATTTCATGTCATAAAGTTGTGACGTAAAAATCACGCCGCAATATAGTTTTATACAAAAAACCATCTCTACAAAAGGGCAGGCGTAGCAGACATATAATTAATTTACTTGCGACGTGTTTTTCACATCACAAATTAGTGACATGAAAAACACGTCACTAAATAGTTTCATTTATTTGTTTCTTATAACGTCTGCCATCCACTTTTTTTTTTATATAGAAAGTATGTTGCGACGTGATTTTCACATCACAACTTTTGACGTGAAAATCACGTCACTAATATTTTTTTTTTAATTTAAAAATTGAATTTGTTTTTCTTTTATTTATTCAGTTTAATAAATTCAATATAATAAATTAAAATAATAAATTCAATATATTAAATTTAATATAATAAAATTAATAAACTAAAATTATAAATTTAAGAATTAATTAGTATGGTATACAAATTCAAGTTTGAAAGTAAAATAAAAAAATTAAAGTTTACGGGTCATAATTATCAATGTCAAAATTATCTTCGCTTCAGTCATCCTCCGGCTCTTGACCGCGAAAGTTTGGATTTCCACCAAACTCTTGCATAAATTGTTTCATTTGTTGCTCCATATCAGCTTGCCTCTTCGCCATGGTCTCCATTTGTCGTTGTTGCTCTTGCGTCATTGTCTCCATTTGGGCTTTCATTGCCGCCTCCCGTTGCGCTGACTCGCGTCTCGCCTCATTTAACGTTAATTGTCTTACGGTTTCAAGTTGTTCTGGTGTCAAATTTGGTTGATGTGACCCCCTTCCCCATCTCTAACTCTTTGAAATAGAGTTCTATCTCCACTTCTCAAGGTGCCCGCCAAATTTCCACCACAAAAAAAACAACCGTTAAATTATACATATATAAGATATTCTACTTTTAATATATAATTTGTTTAAAAAATAAATTTCTCAATTTTAAAATAATATATATAATATAATATTATATTCTATTTTGACTATAAATAAAAACTGTTTTTATTAAAAACTATATATATGATAAAAATTGTTGGTAGTAATTAAAAAATGTTTTAAAATATATATTTTAAAAATTGTTTATAATTTAAAAAAAAAATATTTTTTATTATTGTTTTAAAAAATTGTTTTTTTAAAAATGTTTTTATTTTTAAATATATATTTTTTGTTATTGTTTTTAAATATAAAAACTGTTTCTATTTTTTATCATATTATATAAACTATTTTTATTTTTAAAATATATTGTTAAAAATATTTACTAATTACATTTTTTTTATATTCTGTTTTAAAAAATATATATTTATTAACTTATATTTCTATATTCTTTATTACATTATATTCTAATAAAAAAATAGTATATTTTTATTTTAAATAAATATATTCAAATTTTTTTCCTTGTTTTATATATATATATATATATATATATATATATATATATATATATATATATATATATATATATATATATATATATATATATATATATATATATATATATATATATATATATATATATATATATATATATATATATATATATATATATATATATATATATATATATATATATATATATATATATATATATATATATATATATATATATAAATTCAAAATATAAATAAATAACATAAATACCAATTCTTGAAACTCCTTCAATTTCTTGTACAATTTTCCTTTTAATCTCTTCAATTTCTTGACAAAAAAAATTCAGTCAATCATAAAATATAATTAACCTAAAACAAAAACATTAAAAATAAAATGAATAAATATCATACCTTTATTACAAAATAAATTTGGAATTGGTGATGGAATTGAGATTTGATAATGTAACAATGGAAGAATAGAGAAGAGGGAAAGAAGAACAGAAGAGAGAAAGAAGAAGAAGAGAGAAAGAAGAAGAAAGTGGAGGAAAAAAATAAGAAACACAATGGTTTCTGGAAAGAGGGCGTTCAAGTCTCTAATAGCCAATCAGCAACGTGAATATCACGTCGCAACCTTGCCACGTGATATTCATGTCGCAACGCCAACGTTACATTTTTAAAATAAACCAATCAACGACGTGAATATCACATTGCAACCTTGCCACGTGATATTCACGTCGCAACTTCTCCAACGGTTATTTTTTTAATCTTAATCTGCATTTCAAAATGGATCAGAATCACATCTTGTCAAAGTTCCCTCAAAATAAGTTGCGACGTGTTTAACACGTCACAACTTTTTTTTTGAATTATTAAAACTTCCCTCTTCAAAACGCCTGTAGTTTTAACATTATTTTATTCAAATTTTTATGTTGTGACGTATTTTCCACGTCGCAACTTTTATATATAAAAAAAAACCCAGACTGGCGCAGTCTATACATTACTTTTATTATTTAATTTATAAAATATTACAGTGACGTGATTATTACATCGCAACTGCTAAAATTTAGTGACATGATAATCACGTCACTAAATTACTTCGTTGGGGAGGATATTTCTTGTAGTGATACTTGAGTGACAGTCCTGAATATGTTACAATATTCTCACAGTGTTACAATCACTACAAGAAGATCTTGCGATCTTTATTGAATATTGCTCAAACTATATTGTTCGTGTCTTTTTTGCATCACAAGAAAAGTTCACAAACCCTCAACAAAATATGAAAAGCATGATATCTAATTGTATTGCAAATTAACTCAGAAAACATGGAAGCTCGACAACTCACATATGAAGAAATCAAAACTGTAAATGTCTCTAAATTAACAAGCCAACTGTTTGGTCCTGAACCATATCCAGAATGTAAATAGTAACTTGATAATGTACACAGTTGGTGTGCAAAATATTAATATTGAGAGAGACAGAGAGACAACCCCATTATTCTTTTTTAAAGAAAAATATATAGTTGTCATTAGATATTACATCCTAAAAAATATGTTAATTAAATTTATACAACTGATACACCAGAGGCACATGCAGCAGAGAAAGGAGCGCCTCACACCTAACACCACAGTTATAGCAGTAGATACAACCAACACTTTTCTTCTTCAAGTTCATTGAACCAAAAAGTAACTTCCCTGGGTCTCACCCAGAACATAACAGGATGCCTACTCTGATATCAATTGAAATTCTGGTATACAGATAACAATGTCCTAACACTTGTTGAGACAAAGATATCTGCTTAACAACACATGGATAGAATACAACAAACTGATACAAACCTTATCAGTCCAAAGTTGTAACATATGTTTCGACATCTTATACAATATGTTAATCAATCAAGAAAAATAACTGAACAATACAGAATGATAATAACATAAGCTATGATGACCCAGTTCAATGTATAACAATACATACTCTGGGGGCTACCAAGTTAGGAAGGAAGTTCACTATCAATAGTATTAGTTCAAAGCTAAACTCCTCTATTTACAACTTCTCTCATAATCCCTACCCAATACAACTTCTACCTAGGTTCTCTCTAAATATGAGAGATTAATATTCCACTTCCTAAATCACCTCAGTGATATCTAACAGTCACAATAGTGACTGCATCAAACTACTTGAAAGACATCCTTTTCAAATAAAGTTCGGCCAAGACTCTTGACTAACAAATATATTTGGATTTGCTTCAAAGTTTCATCCAAGAACAATACACGATTCATTACCTAAAGGCTTTTGAATCTGCATAAGAACTATGTCTAATATAATGTATCAAATTGATAAAAATGGTGACTTACAACACAAGAAAGTACACGGCTTTCAAAATCCTAAACCTTTATTTCTCTTTCTAAGTTTGTTACACTTTGTTTAATTAATTTGTCTTAGATCTAAGTCTTTCTTTTATAGACTTCAGCTGTCCATGGGCTTCGAAACTTCTGTTGAGACTATACCTTGATCCATTGCTGAAAATACTCCTTAAATCTTTTAGACAAATTTAGAAACTTGCTTCGACACGTTGTTTCAGTTGATGAAATACCTCAACTCAACATATTTCTTCATAAAATAGAACTTCTTGTTCAATCTATTTTTCTCAGCAAGTTAACTCATCCTATTTAACAGGTTGCTGCTATATTTATTTTACTAAAATTAATGTCAATCATAAATTCAGAGAACTAACAAGCTAATCATGAATGTTTGAGAAAGGTCTTCTCTACTTTCAATGATTCATCAACTTTTTTGATACCCCTCTTTAATGAAAATGCTTTAGAAATTTTAAACTCTATAGAATGTGTTTTATAGTTTTTTTAATAAAAAATAAAACAAAAATTCTACACACTATAACAACCATCAATTCTCCCATGTATTATATTTCAACCATATTTCAATCTAATTTGTTTTTTTTAATAACTTATCTCATAACTTTTCTAAATCTTCATCTATTTATCATTTAATTTTTTTAATTTGATCAGTTTTTTTTACCACTATGTATTCAAATTATTTAAATATATTTTCAGCTTTTTCTCTATAGACATTACCCAAACTCTCTTATAAAAATTCTATACATTAAATTATTTTAGTTTTACAATAAACATGTTTTTAACTTAGATTTGAGTTTAAGTGTCAAGTTTCAATTATTCATAAAAATAAAAAATTGATTTATTTATAAGGAAATACATTAGTTTTCATGAAAAGTTCATTAAAAAATTAAATATTCTTATAAAATGAAAATCATATTTTCAATTAAAGTTACAGGATAAAAAAAATAAAATAAAAATGAAAAGTGAGGATTTTAGCCAGTTTGATACAGCTAGAGTTGTAGGTGGAAAGAGCTGATAAGTCGAGAACTTTCCAGAACTAGTTACAAAAACTATCTTATGCCACGTAACACTAACAAATGCCAGAAAGTTCCAAAACAGCAATTTCCTCACTTCGTCTCTAGAACCTTCTTACTCCACCACTTAAATTAAATCACTCCATTCTTCTCAACCAAGTGTAAATAACTACACCATTTCTAAAATTGGTTCTCACACACAAGCTTTCTTCATGAAGGGAATTTTAGTGAAAGAAGAAGAAACACTAGCATGTATAAATGTTGGTTCTTCAACAAGTTCATCTTCCTCTTCCAATTCAAGTCTTCAACCAAAACCAATGGAAGGGTTACACGAAACAGGTCCACCTCCATTTCTCACCAAAACCTTTGATGTCGTTGAAGATCCTTCCACCGATGGAATCGTTTCGTGGAGCAGAGCTCGTAATAGCTTCGTCGTTTGGGACCTTAATAAATTCTCCACTGCGATTTTACCTCGTTACTTCAAACATAGCAATTTCTCTAGCTTTGTTCGTCAACTCAATACCTATGTAAGTAAACTATCACTTCGAAAATTATATCTGATTGATCGTTGTTGGAATTAGTTGAATTTTGTTTCAATTTGTTATAACTTAGTTATGATTACTTGAATTTTGTTTCAATTTGGTTTAAATCTGTTATAAGTTAGTTATGATTAGTTGAAAATTGGTTATGGTTAGTTATAAGTTAGTTATGATTAGTTGAAAATTGGTTATGATTAGTTATAAATTAATTATAAGTTAGTTATGTTTAGTCGAAAATTGTTGAGTGATTTTTGTATATACATGCAGGGTTTTAGAAAAGTTGATCCGGATCGATGGGAATTTGCGAATGAAGGGTTCTTAGCTGGACAGAGGAACTTGTTGAGAACGATCAAGAGAAGAAGAAATGTAGCGCAGTCGCCGTCTATGCAGCGAGAAAGTGGTGGTGCTTGTATTGAATTAGGAGAGTTTGGTCTTGAAGGTGAGATTGAGAGGTTGAGAAGAGACAGATCTGTTTTAGTGGCTGAAATTGTGAAATTGAGGCAGCAGCAGAATAATTCAAGGGATCAATTATCTGCTATGGAAGCTAGGTTGTTGATTACTGAGAAGAAACATCAACAAATGATGGCTTTTCTTGCAAAAGCACTTAGTAATCACTCTTTTATTCAGCAATTGGCAAACAACAAAGAGTTGAAAGGTGTTGAAATGAAGCGAAAGAGGAGGCTCACTGCTAGTTCGAGTTTGGAGAATTTGCAGAATGATTCCGTGACGATGATGGCAGTGCCGATTGAGTCTGTGGTTGATTGTTCTAGTCAAGAACAACAAGAGGGTTTGACTACTATTGAGTCCGAGATAGAGACATTGTTAAGTGCTTATGGTAATGAATCAAGGAGTGAAATCAAAGACTATGCATCATTGAGTTCAGTTCCAAGTGCTAATGAGAGTAATTTGAGTGATTGGGAGGATTTACTGAACCAAGAGTTGGTTGGTGGGAATCCAGAGGATGAAGTTTTGATTGGTGATTTCTCACAAATTGATGCGCCGGTTGAGGATTTGGTAGAAAAGAATGATGATTGGACTGTGGATTTGCAGAACCTTGTTGATCAAATGGATTTTGAACCTTAATCAAAATGGTTGTAGAATTTTGATCTTTGTTATTTTGTCATTTCAGTTGCAGCTTTCTGGTATGGGATTTGTTGTTATTGTTGTTATTGTTGTTATTGTTTTATGATTGATGATTAATAAAAGTTTCTGTGATGCTTAATTGATGTAGAATATGAATGGCTTTTATGCAGCAGGGAAGATTGTAGTTGCAGAGGAGGCCAAAAGACGTGTATCCTTTATTGAACAACAGTATAAGTTGTGTGAAGTAGTTTGAATTATTGCTTGTGCTAAATAAGTTATAGTACTATGCTACTATTTTTGATTATGTCCTTTTGTTTGTAACTACATTCTACATTTTGCAGGCCTTTACTAAAAGCAAAGCATATTGAAGAATATTATATGATGGAATGGAAAAAGTAGTGGCCTACTAATTACTGGATTGTCAAATGTTCATTGTTCAGGAGGGTGTATAACTTTTTCTTAGTAACATTTCAATGTTCTTTGACAATTTCAAAATAGATGGGTTAATTGTCCACCATTAAAAATTTAAGATTCCTGCATTTTTCAGATGTTTAGACAGAGTAACATGTTGACAGGTTGGTTAATGTTGGTTTTCTTGTGACTGAATATACATGATCTACTTATAATGTGAAAATGCATTGAAGTTGAGTTTATGTGCAATAACTTTAATTTGTTTTTTTTTAGATTTCTTTTTAATTTGTTAGGACTGCCTCTTTTTTTTTTTGTTTAGTTTATTAGATATAGTCTTTTTGAATTTTTTTAATAAAAAGATTGTCTCCTTTTCTCTCTTCTGTGCAATTATTTGAATTTTTCGTACCATATTTTAAAGATATTTATTGGATCATATCTGTTTGTGGTAGTTTGTCAACATAATTGATTTGCAAAATAAGAAGGATTGGACAGTATAGAACAATATAAAACAATTTTTTGTATTGTATCATTTTTGTTGATTAATGCACTTGATAATTTTTTTTTCAATTTTAAAATAGATAAAATAATATAATTTTATTAAATATTATTTATTGATATACAAAATATTAACATTTATGAATTAAAATATTAAATAGTAAAAAGGAAGAAAAAAGAAAGAAGAGATAAAAAAATTTTATACAGCTGACACAATAATATAATTCTACTATAATATTTTTTTACTAATATATAAAATATTTGTATTTTTGATTAAAATATTAAATAATGAAAAGAAAAGAAAAATGATAAATAATTTTTTTTCTATAATATAATTTTACTATAATATTCTTGATTGATTTATAAAAATATTAATATTATATTTATCATACAGAATATTAAATAATGAGAAAGAGAATAAAAAAAAATATTTAGATTTTTTTTTTGATAATTTGTGCTTGAAACAAAAAATTCTTCTATGATTTTAGTCAATCTCGTATCATTTGTTTTGTGATGAATTTGCAATTTAAGTTTAAGACGATAGTGTTGATTTAATTATAAAATTTTTCATTTATCATATACAAAAGTTGGATGAATAATTCAAAATTTAAACTATTTAATAAATATTTAAATATGATAATAGTTAAAAATTTATTATTTAATAAATAATTAAATAAGAAAAATTTAATGCTATCAAGTGATAAGTTATATTATTAATATATTAATTTTTATGATTTGTAGAGAAGTCACCACTATTAAAAAATCTAAATAAGAAAAATTAAATATGTTTTTAGATTCTATAAATATATAAACCTTCAATTTTAGTTTCTTTAAAATTTTCTTTCAAACACTTTTCTTTATCAACTTTTCCATCTTTAAAATTAGTTCTTTCAGTTAAATTTTACTAATGAAAACTTTATGCCTCGTTACTTAAAAGCAGAAAAATTATCTAGAAAAACTATTTAAATTCCAGAGATTTTAAACTTCAATAAATTTACAGATTTTTTCCATGTTAAAGCTTTTCATCTAACAAGCAATTTCATGCCATGTTACTCACAACTGGAACAACATCATGTCTCGAAGTTGTTTTTGCATTCAATTGAATGGTATTAGGCATGGATACAAAGTTTTTATTTCAAAAAATTGAAAATTCAAATGTTGTTGCATTCAATTGAATGGTAGTATGCGTGAATACAAAGTTTTTATTTCAAAAAATTGAAAATTCAAACTTTGTTGCATTCAATTGAATGGTATTGGGCATGGATATAATGGTTACTTTCATGATGCATTGTTTTACTTCCGCTGAATGCGAAAAATTAGTCATATTGTTCTTAAAACATGTGTAGGTTTAATGGATGTAGAGAAAGGGAAATAGGTCTATGGAATGATTTGTGAGATGGGTTTTGGGAATGAGGTTTGTATTATAAATGTGGAAGCTTTGATTATGTTTGTAGGATGTTTGATTGAATGTATGAGACGAATGTTGTGTTGTGGACGTCAATGATTTGAGAGTTTTATAATTTGGGGGAAGTTGAGAAAGCGTTGGTGTTGTTTGAGGGGATGAAGATGGAGGGATATGAGCCGAATGAATTTACGTTGAATGCTATCATGGCTACTTATGCTCGTTTGAGAGATAGTATGAAAGGTTTTAGTTGTTTGAGAGAATGAAATACTAGTTCGTATTCGGTCTCACGGGGAATTGGATTTCTTATTTTCTTCAAGTTCATCAAGTTGTTTGAGAGATGGTAGTATACATGGATACAAAGTTTTTATTTCAAAAAATTGAAAATCCAAACGTTGTTGCATTCAATTGAATGGTATTGGGCATGGATATAATGGTTACTTTCATGATGCATTGTTTTACTGTTCTTAAAACATGTGTAGGTTTAATGGATGTAGAGAAAGGGAAATAGGTCTATGGAATGATTTGTGAGATGGGTTTTGGGAATGAGGTTTGTATTGTAAATGTGGAAGCTTTGATTATGTTTGTAGGATGTTTGATTGAATGTATGAGACGAATGTTGTGTTGTGGACGTCAATGATTTGAGGGTTTTGTAATTTGGGGGAAGTTGAGAAAGCGTTGGTGTTGTTTGAGGGGATGAAGATGGAGGGATATGAGCCGAATGAATTTACGTTGAATGCTATCATGGCTACTTATGCTCGTTTGAGAGATAGTATGAAAGGTTTTAGTTGTTTGAGAGAATGAAATACTAGTTCGTATTCGGTCTCACGGGGAATTGGATTTCTTATTTTCTTCAAGTTCATCAAGTTGTTTGAGAGATGGTAGTATGCATGGATACAAAGTTTTTATTTCAAAAAATTGAAAATCCAAACGTTGTTGCATTCAATTGAATGGTATTGGGCATGGATATAATGGTTACTTTCATGATGCATTGTTTTACTTCCGCTGAATGCGAAATATTAGTCATATTGTTCTTAAAACATGTGTAGGTTTAATGGATGTAGAGAAAGGGAAATAGGTCTATGGAATGATTTGTGAGATGGGTTTTGGGAATGAGGTTTGTATTGTAAATGTGGAAGCTTTGATTATGTTTGTAGGATGTTTGATTGAATGTATGAGACGAATGTTGTGTTGTGGACGTCAATGATTTGAGGGTTTTGTAATTTGGGGGAAGTTGAGAAAGCGTTGGTGTTGTTTGAGGGGATGAAGATGGAGGGATATGAGCCGAATGAATTTACGTTGAATGCTATCATGGCTACTTATGCTCGTTTGAGAGATAGTATGAAAGGTTTTAGTTGTTTGAGAGAATGAAATACTAGTTCGTATTCGGTCTCACGGGGAATTGGATTTCTTATTTTCTTCAAGTTCATCAAGTTGTTTGAGAGATGGTAGTATGCATGGATACAAAGTTTTTATTTCAAAAAAATTGAAAATCCAAACGTTGTTGCATTCAATTGAATGGTATTGGGCATGGATATAATGGTTACTTTCATGATGCATTGTTTTACTTCCGCTGAATGTGAAATATTAGTCATATTGTTCTTAAAACATGTGTAGGTTTAATGGATGTAGAGAAAGGGAAATAAGTCTATGGAATGATTTGTGAGATGGGTTTTGGGAATTAGGTTTGTATTGTAAATGTGGAAGCTTTGATTATGTTTGTAGGATGTTTGATTGAATGTATGAGACGAATGTTGTGTTGTGGACGTCAATGATTTGAGGGTTTTGTAATTTGGGGGAAGTTGAGAAAGCGTTGGTGTTGTTTGAGGGGATGAAGATGGAGGGATATGAGCCGAATGAGTTTACGTTGAATGCTATCATGGCTACTTATGCTCGTTTGAGAGATAATATGAAAGGTTTTAGTTGTTTGAGAGAATGAAATACTAGTTCGTATTCGGTCTCACGGGGAATTGGATTTCTTATTTTCTTCAAGTTCATCAAGTTATTTCAAGGAAATGAATACGATGACTGTTGATTGAATTTGAACATTGATGTTATAGAATTATTTATTGTTCTAAGTGAATGATAAATTTCTCTTATTAAACGTTATAGTTATATGTTTGTCTTTCATTATGAGCTTCTTTAACTTATTATCGTATATCCTTCACGATAGTTTTCGGCTTACAAGGACTAGGAAAGGAGAGGAAAATATTCCTCATTTATATGAACTTAAATGGAATGAAACCTTATGTTCTTCTTTTCAAATTCACCCTTGCTCTGACCTTACCCCCAACGTTTCTAATTGTTCAATTCAATGGTATTGTGTATCATCTGATGGTGCCAAAAAAGAACTTATCATTGGTATTGACTTTTTCATGAAGACATCGTTTTTTGATGAGGTGGCAAGCTATGTCATTTTCTTGTGATGTCATGTCTATTATTGATTATGCAATTTTCTCTTTCTTAGGAGCTACTGTTGAAAGTGTAATTCCTTGTGTCGAAGTAAAATGTTATTCAACAGATGGTGTGTCGAAAAATTTAGTCTGTCGAATTCTTTAATGTGTCGAAGTGTTGTATATATATTGCTATACATAGATTTGATTTAGATCTAATATAGATAGATTTGAAATTTAGTTCCAAAATATGTATTTTGGGCTTTTATAGTTTTTGACTTTAGCTTAGGGGACAAACT